GGTGACGGGTCCGAGTTCCAGTTACGTTACGGGACAGTAGGCCCCAGTAACTGCATAATTGCGGATTTTATAGTAAAAACTCCCGCATTAGGCGCCATAATACCTTATGGTCACTGACACCGCATAAAGGCTGTTCACTGACCGGTCGTCAGAAATACAGGGCCCCGCTGTCAGAAAAATCATAGGTGTATGATAAATGTTAGGGATGTGAAAAAAACTGATGATAATACGAATGACGTTTCGTATAAAGGGACTGCTCACTCGTAACGGACCCTATACTCAGGGTAGATGGCCGCGCGGTACAGAAGCTGCGTACGCCTCTCGCATCGATTACCATTCACCCGTCTGCTGCATATAAGCGTGCTCGAGTCGTGTTTCAGTTGAGTTTCATATATCCAGATATATACACGCTGAATTTCTTTGTTTCTCCACACCTTTTATAGCATAGCAAAACTCGTGTCGCCATGTACACTGCAGTACAAAGCGCAATCGGTCAACAATGTAGCTTTATAACGTTTGTTAGAGAATAGCTTTGACTAAAATAAAGCAGGTTTGCGCCGCGATAGTGTGCATAGCGGCCGACCGTCAAAAGCCATAAACACGACATTGACTTTTACAATTACGACACGACATTTACCACCACCGGAACCTTCCCCTAAAAGTTTATATGACAGGGTCAGCAAACGTGACCATAATATAAGATGCGCTGCTTTACCCATACGATTGAGCGTGAAAGAGCGGTTTAGCGGAGTGCAGCTGTGTACTGCTATAGATGCGAAGTAGATGCGATGGTAGCGGGTGCTAGACTAATCTTCTGTAATCCACTGTAACTGATAACTACAAGATTTTTTTCTTAGGCAATTTCGCAATCGACTTATTCGCCCGGAGTGATTGACAGGCAGCTCTAGCCAGTTGACGTTACGATAGGGCGTTCAAAAACGCTGACTATAGTAACGAAGTGCCGCAAATTAGTCAATTTGGCGTGCACGCGAGAATGATCAACTGGCCTAGCTTGACCGACCTAGCAACAGTATCTAGGGGGAGGGGGGGCATGGTTATTCTTATTCTTATTTCATATTATTATATTCATATTCATATTTCATTTTATATTATTATTATCATCATTATTATTAGAGAGTCTTGGTTATTTTTTAGGACGCTGCGAAACAAACTCTGTACTGAAACTCCCTATTCGCCGTACTTGATTTACTGCAATTAATAACATTAAAGTTTGTCGTTCTAAAATAACAGCTGGCTGCAATTCTAGGAAATTTTTCATTTAGTATTTTCACTGCAGATTTTTTGCAATCTGCGCGTGTGCGTGCCTTCGTGCTTTCGTGCATGCGCGCGCGTGTGTTCATAATGCTATATAATATCAAGAGTACATAATAGAGATTAATCTCTATTATGTACTCTTGCTAATATCAAGAGTCTATCAATATTGATAGACTCCTGATAATATGTAGAAGCCTATGTCATTCTAGGTAGTAGTAAAACACCCTGACTATAATTATATCTTCGTGTTTCCGGAATATCAACTAGAAACGAGCAGTTGTCGCCAACTACATGTATCCCCCGTGATCTAGTATGAATGAAATATCTGTGTAAGGACGTAGAAGGCAGGTAAAGTTAATAGTGTAATAAAAGTAAATAAGTGACAAAGACAAAGGTTTGTTAGACAACTGGTGTGCCTCAGATGTGCAAGTATATGGAATTTGGTTACCCTAGGAGGCCGAAGAGGAAATGTAAGTCGACGGTCAAGGTCAAACTAAGGTCAAGGGCAGTGGTGGTTTTGATATGCGACAGACCTTCTCCCCAAGATGTGTAAGCATACCAAGTTTGGTCGCGCTAGGTCAATTAGGGGCTGAGTTAGAGAGCGGAAGAGAAATATGATCAAGGTCAAGATAAAGGTGAAATAAAGGTCGCAGTGACCTGGTGGGCAGTTTTTACCCGATGTCGGATCATCTTCAAATTTGGCATGAAGGTGCATTATGGTAAAGCGAAGACGCCAATCGTTTTTGGTGTGGGCGGAGTCATCGTTGCCATGGTAACAACATTTTTGTGTAAATATTGTAGAACCTGTAACTTGTGCTGTTTTTACCCGATTGTCATGGAATTTGGGACACAGGGCCGATATAACATGTCCTATATATATATTTGATAACAATCATAAGTTTAAATATAACTTTAAATACATATTTTAATACAAATATTTTTTTTAAAAATTTTATTTAAAAATTTAAAAATTTTAATTTTAATATAAATTTAAATATAAATTTTATTACAAATATAAATTTCATGACAATCGGCTAAAAACTGGAGAAGTTACAGGTTCTAGAATATTTCGACAAAAAATGTTGTTACCATGGCAACGATGACTCCGCCCACACCAAAAGCGATTGGCGTCTTCGCTTTACGATAAGGCACCTTCATGCGAAATTTGAAGATGATCCGAGAAGAACTGCAGCCGGTAGAGCGTTCACAAGGAAATCTCTGCGGTGGCGGCGGCGGTGGCGGCGGCGGCGGCGGCGGCGGCGGCGCGACGATGCCAAACCCATTAGTATCCTCACGAACTTTCGTTCGGGGGATACAATTATGGTATCATGGGCTTTTGATGCTGCAGGCAGGGTTTAAACGCCTCCACGTGAGTCATTCGGCGTGTCTTCCTGCCATGTCCACAGATATAACCTGATTACCGGTGTTAAACTAATAAAAGCGTCGGTAGTTGAGTTTACATCGCCATTAATGGAGCCGCGCTGGAATCGTTCCACACACTCGCTTATTCTCATAACACTATTAACTCTATCTAAGAAATTCGTATGCGGTTTATTTTTTGAACCCATTCTGAGCGGAGAGCTCGCGAAGCAAACCAAACAGCAACGAAACGATGCTTTTATTTGGGCAAATAAAAAGACATTTCGGTATATTTACCATCGGTTATGTCTGTACACCACGCAGTGCAATTAGCCAAACATGGTTTACAGTTTTGCATGGCAGAAAAGCACGTATGTTGATAACAAACCCGGATCGCGCCTTGGCAAAATGGTATATGTTGTAATCAACGTATTGCCGTCTTTAACATTATGTGTATAACATCACTTACACGAAACCATTATTACGATGCCGCTAGGACTTTGGGTGTAGGACTGCAAAAAGATTGTAGCGGTTACAAAAAGCTATGAAATGATCTAACTGTGAACTTTCTTGTAGTGTACTGTATATATATATAGTAAAAACCACACGGACACCAATGAGACATAGATGTATGGGAAATAGAAATATAGTAATTCAAAACCGTGTCGTTCCGCGAGCATTGAGAAAATAATTATGTTTTTTTTGTCAGCCTATATGCTGTATGCTATAGGTATACGCTTTCTACATTGTAGCCATGCAGTTTTTACATTTCTCTCGTTCTTTCCCCCCCCCCCTTCTCTCTCTCTCTCTCTCTCTCTCTCTCTCTCTCGCTCTCGCTCGCTCTTTCTCTTCGCTTTCTCTTCTCTCTTCTCACTCGCTCGTTCGCTTCTCTCTCTCGCTCGTTCGCGCGCGTTCTCTCTCTACCTCGCCTATAAGCAAACAGCTATAGCAAACATAACTAAAGAATATAAAAGCTCTTATATATATATAAGCAGCATAACTTTATATGATATTTGGGATCATATTGGACAGTGTTTGCAGTAATGCGTTGGACATTCTGCGTGTGTGAGGGGTGGGGGGGGGGTGTGTGGACGTTACGTTTGTTAAGCGCTCACAAACTCCAAATGATAGGCAGTGGAACTAGACTGGAAATAAACGGCTGAATTGATAAAGAGCAACGAAATGTGATACTTACAAACATGCCACCCATTAAAACTGTGTTCAAATTGCAGAGGTAGGACGCCTCGAATCGCGCTTTAAAGATTGATATTGTACGTGAGTGGCCTAATAATAATTCACTATGTGTTACACCGTAAAATGCATAATATTGCTCTATAGTAATTTGGCAGTATATTGTTTCAGTGGTTAACTTACCGAGATGTATTATTCAACAGAAGTATACAATACAAGTCACAATAGAGAACATATGCACCGGCCAGAATGGAGGCGAAAGGAAAATCTCCCTTTCACAAACGCGTATAATACACAGTTCCGCATTAAAACATATAAACTTATAGATAATATAATATTCATATATTATTTCATTCTCGTGAAACGATGATGTTCGATTTCGAGAATTCTCTAATCACAAATTGCAAAACAAGAGTATAATATTTATGATGTCAAATATAAGACGCCAAAGAACTGGAGTTGACCATTAACAGTAGTCATCGATGTACGCCTGGCTGCCAATTTATTATGGAGTAGAACGGGTATTTCTTCCGCTTATGATGTTTTAGCCCTATTATTCATGCACTTCCTTATCGATCATCAAAATTTCCGTCCTACTCGCAACTACTAATCATTCGTATTGACCATAATCATATATTATATTTAATTCATATTTTATCGCAATTTCATTCTATCAGATCCTATTTCTTCATGCTGCATATACGATGGTCGAGCTGAAAGGCTGATGCGAAACCGAAAATTTACTAGACAAAGTAACCATATCTAACTAAACGTGCGCACACCGTTCACATAAAAGGCGTGTGGATGCCTGGACCCGATGCACATCACACGCAATGCGCGCTCATAATACGATTCCGCGCACGATAACAAACGAAATGCTTGCACGTGCAATTCCTACTCAATTATACGTCATTCCTGATCTATCCTTTCCTATTCTTACACTATATCCTACCACAATACACTTCATTTTAATCCATAATCACGTCCAATGCTCTTTCGCATTCTTCCTTTATCTTTAGGCATATCACAACACTAATGTGATCCTAGTAGAATAAACGGAGCGAAGATGTAATTATTGTGCTTGTATTCTATGGGCTAATCCGGTGAGCGAATTGAAGTGGGATATCCTTGCTCTTAGCTGGCCGGCCACTGCTGCCGTACGACCGCAGCTCTTCAATGGTCCTGCGGTTGCGGGGGAGTCCGACACAAGAGTGAAGTACGCCGACAAACGTCTCACCAGCAACGTCGCGACAAACGGTCTCTCTCTCTCATATATATAATATAGAATATTATATTAGATTAGAATAAATCAAAATAGAATAATAGAATTCACTCAATACTATCGAGATATATCGACGTAACTGCTAACCATACAACCGAACGCAAATAACCAACTTTGCATAATGTCGACCTATAATCTACAGAGCCAAATCAATCTAATTAGAGGGGGTTAAATACGAAGAAATAGCTAAAAAGTGCCATATTATAATAAGAAGGCATCCAGTTCTATAAGACTAGGGGCAACAGGTCTCACTGCTATCAGAAGCCATCCGAAAAGAAACCTAAACTAAGAAAGAAAGTTATACTAAACTTTTCTAGACAGGTTCCCGTTATATAATAGGATGCTGCACCGCTAAACTCAGGCATATATTAAAGATATACATACTATACTGCGTAAAGCGTAGTATCATTGAGATTACATGCGCAATAGGCCTACTCTCTCTTAATACACACAATAAAAAACCGCACTAATAAAGGATACTATATAACATATTATAAAAGCACGACGCACGCGCAGGCACGTACCGTAAGCGCACAATCGTGGTACACAGACGCGCGCGCGCGGTGCGATCGCGCAAAGGCACCGCGCGTGTTGTGTTCTGGGAAGGTATCTAATTTCCTCTAGGGAGGGAGCGTTGCGCGTAGCTAGTGATTTTTTCAGCAGGGGGGCACATGGGGGAGCGGGCCTATACATTCTTCGTGGGGGGGCACAATATATAACTTTTTCTTGTATCTATACTGTCTAACGGCATCTGTGTTTTAATTCAATTTTTTTTTATCAAGCATTGACATTTTTAGTCGGGGGGGGGACCTGGGGGGGGAGACACAGAAGAATTTGTGCGTGGGCCGTGCCTCCCCCAGAGCCCCCGTAGCTACGCCCCTGAGGGGGACAATACTCCCTTTGGCGCCCCCCCCCACTAGCTACGCCCTGATATAATATATAGTTCATAATATATATATATATAATTATATAATAATATACTATATAATATGTTTATATTAATAGAAGCAAATCGGTGAACATAGGAATATCGAGCAACGAACATCATATGAGGGACGACATTTAGCCAGATTTTCACGTTTTCGCTTTCTTTACTGCCACATAAAACGCAGCAAGCGATCTATCTACTTATATATAATATATACTATATATCATTACATATATATATATAATATATATAATGTTTACGTAAATGTAACGTATTGTACAAAAGATATGGGGAGAGATAGTGATCCGCTAGGGGACGGCTCTGATTGGCTAATTTTGTCTCTTATTTATTTTATTTTTAGTTGATTCTGGCTAATCTTTGTTATTATGTTAGAATTACAGGGATCAGGGGTTAGGGTTAGGGTTAGGCGTTGGAATTAGGTATAGGGTTAGGGTTAGGGTTAGGGTTAGGTTACAACTGATTATCATATCCACACAACTTATTTCTATATTCACTATCTCTCCCCTGAGACCTACTATGTGCAAAATACCGATATTGAATTACAATTTCCATTGCCTTTGAATTGTTTTTCTCCTTACCTTTCGTTTGCGCGTGCGTTTGCATTTTTAAATTACCTTATTCGTTTTTAGAACAAGCTTACAGAAGATGTTTGGAAGATGGAGAGTGGGCAGAGAGAACACCGGGCACGAACAGTCGTACAGGCGGGTGGACAAACTACACAGAATGCTACGCGCAAGAGGTAGCGGAACCAATAAACCTCATGCAAACGACGCTTAGCAACCAGGTAAGCCAAGATCTCGCCAAGGTATGAAATATGGGTAAATTATAATACGTGTAGAAAGAACAGGTAATGCAAGCATTTATACTCAATTGTAGAGAAAGACAACGGGACCACAAGAGAAACACGAACGATGCAGTATAGTCAGTATATTGTGTAAAGAAGTTGGTATACGCCAGTGTTATGTTGCGGGTCATTTTATTATTTCACCACCGGACGGCGCTATATGTATTCTAATTTCTATGCCAGCTGTGAACTGCGATGTCAACATATTCTGGAAAATATAGTGAAAGTTTGTTTGTGAACGTTATCATAATAATATACAGTCTAACTCACTTAAAATCACAAGTACGACATGAAGTGTGGTATTAATAGGCGTATATATATTTTTAGAAGCTTTTTAGAACCAAGCTCTTTTCCCTTTCTGACTTCTTCTCGAGACCTGAATGCTCAACGTCCATCTCGACGTATTACTAATACTATGAACTCTCCCTAGGAATGTATTAAAATGTCTTTTGGTTCGTTTCAACAGCATCAAAAGTGATTCTAATCCCGCATTCCAAAACCTAATTGATGATTACTTAATTGCCAGATATTGTTCATGGCACTGAATCTCAATTGGACGTGTACATGTATTTCATCCACTCCAGTGAGGTGTTTCCTGATAATTTCAATATTTATAGAAATAAAATAGCAACTTCCATGGTAATGGCATCTTTGTTGCTGTTAAGAAGTCAATTTTTAGCTCTTTGGTAACTTCTTTTGATGAAGAAGGAGCTGCATGAACCCACTTTCGATCGGCTCATAGGGTCTATGTCCCCCAGGGTACTATCAGAGGTTACTCTGGGTACGGTTAAATATATATATCTAACCGTATCGGAACGTTCGGAACGATGTATCGGATGTATCGGAACGTACCCTGCATTCATATGGTAACTATCTGATATGGTTAAGGTTAGGGTTAGGGAGTAGGCGTAGGCGACTCCCTAGACTCGTTAGTGGAGCTCATAGGGTCTATATGTTCTCCAGGGTACTGCCGGAACGTTTCTGGAGTATATAGTATATAGGAATTTTGGCATTTTCTTCTGATTTCTGGCCAGATAAAAAAAGGCCGAAGTGCATGGCAAGCACTTGGCAAGTTGTGGTAGGACCAGCAGGGGCGTGTACAGGGGGGGGGGTCCAGGGGGTCTGGACCCCCCCCTCGCTGCTCGCGCAGAAAACGCATCTGAGGGGGTCTAATTTCAAAATTTCCTTCCCGTCCTCGCAAGTTTGGGTTACGGTTACACCCCCCCCTGCTACAAATCCTGTACACGCCCCAGACCAGTGGTGAGCTTAATACCATCTCCTGCGCTAAACATTTTAAAAAATTCTGGGGGGGGGGGACCCCCATACCCCCACCTGTTTTTCACCCCCCTCATTTTATATATCTTGGTAACAGAGAACAATAAACACAAATGTCACATTTATGCATTGCGCATGAAACAAAGATTGCAGAGCTGAGAGGTGGGGTGTGGAGAGGGACGCGGAGGAACCATTAAAATATTAAGTCATCCTCGATTTTGCACAGTTTGCTGTTCCCCCCCCCCCTGTTAAAAAATCTTGGCCACGCCACTGCGTACATATACACGAATTCTTCAACGAAAAAATGATCCTAACATTCTGTAGCCATGTTTGCAACTATGTTTGCAGATATGTTTGCAACTATAACTGTTATAAATATATGCTTTGATCTTTCAGGAAGTTGAACAGAAATGGCCAGTAATTACCTTGTATCACATCAAGTCAGATATCAGATTCAGGTATGCTTCAAATGAACAAACTAAAGAAATAACAATGGATAAACATATATACATTGTTATATTTGTGGATAATGTGACCTATTTTAGATTTTCGAGACTTTTAGTAATAGATACCAGCATCTATAGATACACACATGTCATGGCAACTCAAACGTTCAGTAATTAACTGATGGATCTAAGAATAAGCTTTTATGCATCAGTGTATTCTAATGATTTAATACTAGTATCTCCATTTTAATGCACAGCAAATTATTGTTTGATTCAGTATTACAAATCTAACTAAAATGTGTATTCTATATTTAGAAAGGATAGTTTAGGAAGAGGTTAACACGGTTTATTTCAATATGAGTCATAATGTCCTGATGAAGTATGAGAAGGCCAGTATGAGCAAGTATTTACTATAGGAAACATGCTAGGTCTAAGGATATAGGAACGTGAGAATTTCTGTCTGAACTAATGAAAATATTCATGCTGAAATTATGAAAAGATATTTAAATTCTGACAAAAAAACATTAAAATGTAAAATTATGTGGATCATGCTTGGACTGAACGTTTGTTCACATGCTAAACCAATTGCATCACATAAGTAGATTTAGTTAACTATAGTAATATATATATATGGTTGATGCACCTGCATGTGCTCAGAGCTACATTGAATCTATGCCCTGTTGTTGTAGGTATGCAGTGACAGTGATGCTAACAGAGCTGGTGAACAATGGCTCTTTGGCAAAGGAGCTGACTTTCATGTTACGGCTGCCAAAGAAAGCGCTCATCTCTAACTTCACGCTGTAAGTCTTGCTCTGACTATAAGTGTCAGCATGGCACCTACTCTATACACGAGATGTGCGAGTAGACCCTAATAGTTGCGACTCAGTGAATGAAGTAGATATACTTGGGTGTCACGGACTCACCTATTCACGTCTGTACCTTGTTCTTGAGCAAGCTTAGACTTGTAGGAAGGATACTATTATTGTCAGTTCATTATTTTAATGTCAAGATAAGATTGATGCCATTGCAAGTTAGGCCCAAAGCCACATCTGGTGCGCGTAACTGGTTATTTTTTATGGTAGCTTAATTGCGCATTGGCAATATTTGGATTATGTGACTATAAAACACTATTCATAGGTGATATGCATAATTTAAAAAGGTAATGGCACTGCATGGACCTATTGCCAGTCACCCTTATCCACTTTCTTTATATTGCCCAAAAAAACTCGCATTTTTCTTTTCCAAAATATAGGCAATGATGTGGTAGTATTCCCTTAATGGAAACCCGTTGCTACTACTTGGCTTCTTATCATCCCACATTTATTTCACTAAATTTAAATAATCTTACATGAAATCTATATTTATTCCTTTGTTGTTGTATGACATTTTAGTAGACACTTGCGATGGCCTATTGCCGATTAGTACAGATGATATGATTACTGGTTAACTTATAAAATATGTCTGACAAGTGTGTCACGTGTATGTTGTTATATATAGGGGCCTATATATATATAGCTGCTCTACACCTGCATGAGTTAAAACAAATTCAGTAAAGAACATTACATAACGGTCTCCTAGGAGAACATACTGGCTGTCATCGCTAGAAAGCGGCACAATCTTTACTCTTTCGCATATGCACCGCATGTGAGACAAATTGCTATATGGGCGATGGAGTATATTGGGAGTATATTGGGAGTGCATGTATCAGGTGGCACTGACGCCCAGCAACATGCTGCCCAGTGTGACAGTGAGCGGTGTAGGCGGGCGTCTGCCTGCGGCGGCGGCAGGAAAACAGTGAGAACTTGTTCGTCGGTAATCATGTTTTATTTATTTTAAATTTGAAGCCGTCATCTGGCTGGCACATTTGCAAGGCAATTTCCCGTGGCGCATTGCAATGTGTTTAATTGCCAATCGAATTTTGGACAGTTGACAGCGAAGGAAAACTACGCTATAACATAAGCTGATTCAAGAGATGGCAAGACCTGCTTGTCCGTTTGGGCACGGACTGTAGTCGGTTTGCAATTGTCCGATCAAAATAGCCATGCAAATTTTCCTATGAAGTCCTTCTCCATTGCTATTATGTGTATCATCAGTCTTAGTTTCGTTTAAGGTGTCATGGTTAAGCAAGCATAGCTATACTTGTCTGTCGCACCTTGGACGCTGCACGACTACCCCTTTTCAAAACTAGGTTTTTGTGATTGTGTGCGGTTAGATCGTATCATTTCTAAGCGAATGTGACGTTCACATGCTGGTTGGCAGTGAATGTATGTAGATGATTGAACTATTTGAGCACGACTTGCTTGAGTAGCATAGTACATACATTTGTGGTAGCGCGAGTGTTTCACCTTTCACAGCTGGAAGCTGTGTGTTTTAGACAAGGGAAACCGACCGCAGTTTTAACGTCTTTATGACGCGTGTAGATTCACGCAATGTTTTGAACTTCTAGGAAATACAACACTTGTTCACAGGGGCCGAATTTACGCCACACTTGGGGTATTGTACGCTTGCCAACGTGAATGAACTCGTAAGCGACTAGGGATGGATCCACACATATTTAGTGCATATTACATATGTGCGCGCGCCATCTCATTCATTCTCTCTTTCTCTTCCCCTGTCTCCTCTCTCTCTCTCTCTCTCTCTCTCTCTCTCTCTCTCTCTCTCTCTCCTCCGCTGCCGGCTGTCTTTCGCTTGCGCTCTCCCTCTCTTCCCCATCTCCCTTTCCCCCTCCTATCTCCATCTCGCTCCTCTTTTCTACTCTCTCTCCTTATTTTATCTTCTCTGGCTCTGCGTCTCTTGTTCAGTCCTTTCTATTCTACACCACTCCCCTTTCTCCATCTCTCAGTCCATTCTTCATGTTCCGCTTGTTCTCTACCCCGTCTCTTTCTCGTTTTAAATTCCCCTTATTTCTGTTATCCACGGCGCACACACCCGATACACACAGACTTGTACTGCTATCCATACCGCAGGAGGATTTCACAAGTGAACTGACAGTTCTGTACAGTGGTCCGATATATAGTCGTACCAAGAGTAGTATAATAACACATTATGTTAATACATGTGTTATTATCTACTCTTGGTCGTACGTACCTCATGGCAATACATTCATGTGAACTAAAATAGCTGACTTCTTCACTTGATTCACACTGTGGATGAAAAACAGAAATGAAATTCTCATCCGAATCGACAATTATTCGAAGATATGATGATGAGATATGTGAAACTGTTGACTTAAATTTGTTACGTACGTACCAAAAGAACGCATATGGGAGTCCATTCTCTATATATATGTGTAGCGATAGAGCGATCCGTGGTGGGAGCTTTCACCCGAAAAGCTATTACTGTCCCGCTCGTATCACTTCCTAATAAACTAGTAAACTAGTAAACTAATAACTGAAGTACTGCAAGTATGTGCTCAAGATGAAGCGATGTGTTTAATAGTACATATACTGCATTTGTTACAGGATTGTTTTGTAGTAACCAGTGGTATTCGATCATCAAAGGACGGATATGGGTTCGAGATTTTTAAATTTTTTAAGCGGTTTAAATCCCGCTTCTACTAGACGTAGAGTGCATGTGAAATCCATGGCAAGTAGGTAGGTAAACCAGGTAGGTAGGTAGGTAGGTAGGTAGGTAGGTAAACCAGGTAGGTAGGTAGGTAGGTAGGTAAACCAAGTAGTACAGGGGCGGATCCAGAGGGGAGGTCGAGCGGGGCCGGACCTCCCTTTTTACCACAAAAAATGGGAAAAAAGCATACACACACACGCACGCACGCACGCACGCACGCGCGCGCGCGCGCACACACACACACACACACACTTCTCTTATATTGTCTCCATAAAAAAATCGTATTTAGCGCTAGTTTTTCTGATAAAGATTTACTTATATATAAATTCGTTGTGGGGGTCGGGACCGGATCTGATAAATTTTTGCATTCTAGACATAAAAATTACTGCTCAGATGTTCTCAGAATGCACCAATTTTTAAGTGGCCTTAGGCAGCTTTTTAAAACACCAGAAAAAATAACCAGGAAAAAGTGGCCGTTATCTCTTCCTGGACACCCCCTTTAAAAAAATCCTGGATCCGCCCCTGTAGTAGGTAGGAAAACCACAGCACTTGCCGTCGGTACCGTGGTCAAATTCGAGCCCCGCGCGTTTGTCTGTAGCCAACGTGGCACCTATCAAAGGCTGACGTGGGGCTTTTACGTGACATGTCCAGGTTTGATGTTTGTCTCTATGTGACGTCTCCAGGGGTGGGATTGGAGTAGGTATAGGATAGGGGTTGTAGTTATGATCCCTCGTTGATTGAACCTGGTAGCAGTGGCATGGCCTAGCATATTATTTTGCAGCCCCTGTAGTCATGGCATGAGACTCGTCGATTTTTTCTTGGCGGCATACTTGAATGCATGTACGCAGCCAGCGTGCAAGCCAAACGCCCAGGGCATCGCCGTTATTCCACAAATACGCACGAACGCACGCGCGCAGACACTAATTATTCTTGTCAGATTTTAAGAGAGTAAAAACGTCGGTATAAAGTAGTGCTTCGTGGCCCGTAGATCTGTTAGCTGGCTGTCTCGCGTGTCTTGCCCGTGCAGCGCATGTTGCGTGCCTGCCAGCCTGCCTGCACAGCGTGCCTGCGTGCCTGTCTGTCATCATTCGAATATCCCACCGTGACAAGGGTTATTGTTTTCGTCGCTTGCATTCCTTCAGCTTTTAAGCAGGCTGTAAATTTTGTTTAACGAGACGTTAAGTGTAGCGAGCGCGTTTTCTTAGCAGCAAGTGTTGGTATTTGCCGCTGCGTGTGCTGTCAACATACGCGGAAATGGAAAGTTGAATTGTGGCGTCTACTGAGATCATATGGCAGTTAAACGTGGCAAGGGAATATTTCCTGGTTAGGCCAAAACAAAATATAGGTGTGGTTACGGTTTCCCGACCAACCCTATTTATTCCCAGCGACCCTAAACATTTTATTCAGTTTTAGAAATTTAAAATTTAAAATATTTGTTTTTTAATTTAAAAAATTTTCAGTTCCTGTTTCAAAAGGCACAACGCACATCCTTCGGACATGGTTCGTAAATAAAATATTTCAAGAAAATAAAATGTTTTCCCTACCTACCTACCCTATTTTTTTCGGCATGTAACGGTAACCACACATATATTTTGTTTTGGTCTTACCGTAAATAGCGTCAGCTGCCTGTTTGTTTCTAACACTATCCTAAAATGTGTAACTCATCTGTTAACTGGCGAAAAAATTGCCTCTTAGTTACGTATGTATTGCTTTTAGGAGGACTGGGAAGCAATAATTATGCCCGTGTCTATATTTCGTTACCATGCAAACCCTGTAAGGGCGTGCCGAACAAGAAGTATAGCTAATTAAGAAAAGACAAGAAATGACAATAGGCTGTTGTGGCTAGACTGCTGGCTCTTAAGTACACCACTTACTAAGATTCTTGCGATTTGAGGAAAAACGAATTTAGGCCTATCAATGTATTTCTTTATGCACACACGCAAGCACGTACGCGCATACGGGCGCGCGCACACACACACACACGTACTCACTCACACACACACATGCACGCATGCACGCTCGCACGCACACACACATACGAACACGTGCATACGAACGTGCGCACACGCATAAACCCACGTACATATGTCACCGCGTGATTCTTCACTGCGTGACGGCGTGATCGTATCTCTGTTTTAGTACCCCGTGAGGGAATAAACCGGCTCGATGATATAAACGACAGCCAGTGATATACAACGCAACGCATTAATTTAGATAATACACATACGCATAACAT